AAAATTGGCGTATATAAATGAGACGAAATGAGTAATTAATTGAGAATTAATAACACAAAATTCATATATAAAAATATTTTTGTAGTATTTATTATACATTGAAAAACGAAAAATTAAGTTATTATTGAAATAACTGAATTGTAGTAGAATTAAAATCGTCCAAAAAAAATTGATGCTTAAAAATTTCTAAATTTTTTTAATCATTCTTTCTAGGAAGCATCGCATCGAGTTCGTCAAGCAGCAGTGAAATTTATTGTAGTGCCATTGTTTTCTTCACCCACTTCTTGACCTTTTTTGCTTTACATATAATATATAATTAACTGGACGGCCCTATTAAATAACCGTTCTTTACAAATGAGATGTGAAAATTATGAGTAATGCTCGGCACTATTGGTGTTAAAATATCAGTATAATTATCATTAATGTGACGTTAAATAAAAAGTATAATTAAATTAATCACTTAATTCTACCTTTCATTAAATTTATCATGTGGCGTCATCTATACTGATATTGTGGTATCAATGTTAGATAGCATTATTCGAAAATTATAGATGTCTTAATCCTAAACTTTTATCAATTAATTAAGGAACAGTTAAGTATTAAACGCGGTTTAAACATTCTCCATTTATCTTACAAATTCACGACACCACAAAAAATTTGTGGTGTCAGATTGCATAAACGAAGTATTTATTGACTTGGAAGACTTTGTGGAAGCATAGGTTGTCTGAAAAGTAAACCAAATTCGTGCAGAATTATCCCGTTCAATTTTTTTTGGAAGCATGTTGGAATGGACTTGTAGTTTGATGATGATATTTGTTGATTCGGTTCTTGATCAATAGATCCCGGTTTCACTCACGTTCACATATATAGCTTATGTACACTTGGACAATCCGTAAATAGCACATAACCTTCTACGATGATGGGGGAGAGGGTCACAAACACTCCGACGATCATATCAATAAACTTACATATATGTATTTGGATGTGGAATGGACAAAAAATGTGAGTCACCATGGTCTCTAGGCATTGAGGATGTATGTAGAATAACAAGAGAGCAATAATACCATGGGCGTGTAATATTGATTACCTTCCAATGAAACTAAGGGTGTGAAGTGAGTATTGTTGGATGAATTGGCACGTGTACTCATCTTAACGATCGAGGTGCATCATCATAGGTGTCACTTCTGTAGTCCTAAGTTACGGGGTATTTAATGATTCTGAAAAATGGTCCCCTTGTAACCTAGGCATATTGTCTAAAAAATAGATTGACAAGTTAACTAAGAGACGTCTGCTGCAGAGATTTACATCGATCAATCACTTAAAAGATCTTGTACGAAAGATCAATTAGAAGAGGTAAAGCGAGAAGATGCATCCTCATCCCGAGAGGCTAGTTGTCTTGGTTCTACAGCGAGTATTAGCTTTATACATGACACTTTGACTCAGGTGATGCATCACTTCGACTACCTATGTTTGATGGCCTCGATTACATCAGGTAGGATAGTGACATGGAGTGTGAGCCAGTGTTGGGTACCTCGCCTTGCTTGTAGAGGGACAACCTTATGCAAGACACTTTGAATGAAGTGGCGCATCACTTTGGTTGTCTACGTCTGATGCTTTGGTTAGGTCAGGTAGGATATTTATGTGGAGTACAGGGCTAATTTGGTTTGCTAGCTGGTGCACATGGCCAATTCTTGGAGCATCATTGGATGAGGCGCAACAATAGTTCTCCAAGTACAAATATGAATATTTATATAATTTGTAGACTTTAGGTTAAGGGTGAAGTACGTTACTCGTGATATGGAGCGTGATACGAATATGTTCGTTGTTGAAGAAGTGATACTTTTGACATGGAGTGTTCTGTCTTTGCTGAGACCATATTGGTATGTGACAATTTGCTTGGTCGTGAGGAGGCACAACACAGTAGTCACCCCAAGTTCAAGTATAAATATTTATATAATGCGTAGATTTATGTTATTGATGATATGTTGTTGCTTTGTGTGATAGCTATGCAAACGTAGATGGTGCTGAGAGAGGTTCTTGCTTAGTTAATTTAGGTATCCATGTGGCCGATACTTGGAGTCTTGTCGGATGAGACGTAATATTATTTGTAAGTTGTGATTTTAAATAGTAGTCCATGTGGTATTAAGGCCATTGTTGCATTTTTCGAATCTTTGATAAATTAAAATGCATCACAATTTATTGTCATATGTTCAGCTATTTGTAAGCACGTCTTAGAAGAATCACGACTGTACAAATAAATTCCATTTTGTGACCAAATTGTGTAATAAAGTGTTCCAACCTCGATTTAGATGTCACGAAGTGACACTAAATGAACAATACAATTAAATGAATTGCATAATTCTACATTTAATTAATGTTAGTGTCACATAAACTAACATTGCAATACAATGATGCTTATAGTATTATTTGATCGAAATTGTGTCATCTGCACGTGTAAAACCCATATTTAATGTTTGTTTGAGCGTTATATAATGCATTTTGAAATAGTAAATTGAAAGAGAATGTGTAGTTAAAAAATAAGAAAAAAATTTGAATTTTCGTGTAATATTATTTTATTAAAAAATATGTGACTAAAAACATGATGACGAAAAATGTATTTTAAGAATAACGGGGATCAAACGAGGGCATTAAAAAAATAGAATAAGCTATATTGTAAATAATATATATAATTTCATCTCAAAAATAGTGGAACCCACAGCTTAAAAACTGTGTGGTCTTATTTGCCAAACTATCATTGAAGGCTTGATTGAAGCAGTGGAAATTAAAGACTTGATTGCAAAACTTTACTAATATTCCAATAAAAGTAGTGCTGCTGAAACGTAAAAATTATTCCTTCTCTTTCTTCACCGAATTTCAATAAATTCTTCCAAATATCTAATTTGATGTTCGATATGTTCTATTCAATTTCATTTTTTTTAAAATCTTGTTTTACTAATATTGTAACTGTTAAATTCTTTCTTCTTTAATATTGTATTGTTTTATCTAAATTAATGTGACAATTTTATCCCGCAAATTTTACCCTAAATGAAACATGAGAGGACATCCAACATGTATAATCCTCACTATAACAAAAAGTCCTTTTTAAAAATAAATAAATAAATAAAATTTATAGACTATTTTAGTCTGTGGTAAATTCATCTGATTATAATTATTTTTCATTATGTTCGATGTATTATTACTTTTTTAAACAGTTCTCCTCAAATTGCATCGGAACTAGATACTTGTTAGAAATGAAATGTAAATAGTGGTTTTCATCCTAACTTGGACGTTTTAAGAAAATTTTGTCATGGGTTTTGCTTATGTCATAGCTTAGGTTCCATAATCCATTATAGTTTTTTTAAACAAAAAAAAAAAAGTGAAAATAAGTAGTAGAATTGTAGGTGGTCCTCTAGGGTGTAGCCATCAATCAATTTCGTTTTAATTAAAAAAAAAAATTCAATGTTGAAGCTTGAAGGAGATGCAAAGTCAAGTCACCGACCAAACCCTCCATTTTCCTATCACCAAATCATACGAATAGAGACCAAACCAAACCAATAACAATAATAACTAATAATAATAATTTTCTTCAAATTGATTAACAGTTTTTTAATCAATTTCTACCTCATTGCCCTCTTATAATTGACAACCAAATTGAGCAATATAAAATGTCCAAGAACTTAAGGACGTGTCTGGGAACGATTAAAATCAGCAAGAAATGGGTTTTTGGACCTTTTTTTCCAAACTTGTTGCAGTGCCATGATACGAGTCAAATATTATGGCAGCAACGGCTATAATTTTGCTGATAATCGTTCACAGGCACGCCTTAAGTATTCTTGCCGATATTAAAGGTAAAATTTGATATGGTTTAATTATAAAATCATAGTCGATAAATAAAAGTTCGAATGATTTTATGATATGAGCATTGTTTTGAAGAGAGACTTGATGAAATAGACAAAGATTCCATGAAACTTCACTATAGCTCAAGAATGGGTTTGTACCTTCCCTGTACAGCTTAGTTGGAAGGCAAACAATGCCTTCTTTCGTGAAATTTGATTAATCGTTGAGATGTCAGTATATAAAAGTTAAATTTCAACATTGCGTGAAGACCTATTTGGTAAGGATTTGTTTATAAGCACACTTGGGAAGAATTTAAATAGATATAATTGAGTGGTAGATGAATGAATAGTACATATAAATTACTCGAAACGTATAAATAAAAAAGTGATTTGAACATGTATAAACGGGAACCAAACATAGGTTAAGATTTAGAATGAAATCTTCATGATTGATATCATGATTTCGAAACTCCAACAAACAATTTAATCTATCAAAAATTCGAATAAATTGTTAAATTTTAATGGAGTACTAAGATTAGTGAGCACCATTTATCGAGATTGACTGCTTCATTCCTCATCCCGACAATATTTAGATCTTTTTTTCCTTTTCATTCTTCGAGACAAACAAAGGTTTGGCAATTTGCGTCGGATGGAGAGAGAAAATATAAAAGCATCTGTGTCTGCAAGCTATCATATTCATATACAAACATGGCGGCCAATTACTAAATTTTTTATTGCGAGGTAACGCCGACCTCCTTTTTCTCTCTCTTCCTCTCTATTTATTAATATAAAGAAGGAAAAAAAAAGGGCAAATGACGTTATAAATATAGACCGAACAAATCTATAAGTATTGTAGAGAGAGAGAGGAAAAATTGTTGGTAGAGAGAGAGAGAGAGAGAGGGGGAGGGATTTGTCGGTGTTTGATTTCCTCGCTAAATAGCTTTCGAGAATAACAACGTGGCTGCAAACCCAGATGACAAGAACCTTAATACGCAGGCTGTTTGTTGAAGCAACGTCACAATTGCACCACATCGCTGCTGTACGCATGCTTCCCGTTTCTCTCTCTGTTGTTTCTTGAATACTCCGTCTTAATTTATTCAATTATACACAATCAACCTCTTATTATAATTTACAGAGAAATTTAGAGAGGGAGAGAGGAGAGAAATGGAGGGCTGTGGGGCTGCAGTTGATGCTGGTGCTGTGGGCCACCGCCCGACTAGGAGGAGGAGCCAGAAGCCGTACAAAGGCATAAGGATGCGCAAGTGGGGAAAGTGGGTTGCGGAAATTAGAGAGCCTAATAAAAGATCAAGAATCTGGTTGGGATCTTACTCCACCGCTGAGGCGGCTGCTAAAGCCTATGACACGGCGGTGTACTATCTCCGTGGCCCCACCGCCAAACTCAACTTCCCTGATGAAATCTCTGCCGTAGAGCCAAAAGACCTCTCCGCAGCCGCTATAAGGGAAAAGGCGGCGGAAGTCGGCGCCCGAGTTGATGCACTCTATACTAACAATTTCTCTGCTGCTGGTAAATTTGGACAAGAGGAGCATGCAAACAAATCCCTCAAACCTTCTTGGTTTCAAGAGATTGTTGATCTCAACAAGAAGCCCGAGCCCGAAGATTCAGATGTTGATTATTGGTGAAGATGATGATAGAAAATCAACTAGAAGTATTTTTATTTTTATCGTTTCTTATTTTTATCTCTGGGCTCTGTGCCGGTAAAAAAAAAAAGAACCCCCAGTCCTAGTTTTGTTTAATATTAATGTATATATTTAGCTTTTCTTAATTTCCTCGTTTGTTTTATCCAAACTGGCAATTTGATCGTACGTGAGCATGTCGTGCTTCAAAAGTTTTTTGATTATTGAGGAGACTGTGAGTGTTTCGTGGTGGCGGGCGCGGGCGTGGGCGTGGGCGTGGGCGGTGGATCCAAGTGCGGTGGTGGTAGTAGAGGGTGGGGGGACAACAAGGGGCCTAACATTGCTCGAGTTTGGTGCAAGTGGCTGTTTTGCAAGTTGAGAAAGTCAATAAGACAATGTTTGGTCCTATTAAATTTTAATTCATTTTTTTCTCTCTTCTAATCAATTAAGTATTTTCTCAATAAAATAATATTACGTATAAATTCAAAAATTCTCATTACTTTTTAACCACACATTCTCTAAAAATCATTATTCCAAAATCATTTTTTTTCGAAGCTCAAACAAGGGCTTAGCCGCTTAGGTATTTTCCTGGTTCTCCACTGTTGCAGATGACTAGAATTGTGGGCACCACGGTGATGAGAGAGAGAGAGAGAGAGAGAGGGAAACTCCACTATCAAAATCACCTATAATTAGAGCTCTCAACTTGCAAAATCATGGCCCAGTTTACACATTTTATTGGGGGACACAGGCACTGCACAGTCGTTTTTATATTTGTTTTTGTTACATGAAGCTTCCTTCCTATGGTGGCCATTGGAGTGAAACAGACATTTGAATTTGTGAATTGAATTTTTTCTACCTACTTCAGTTTATGTCCATTATATTAAGTTCCGTTTGATTGTAAGAGTGAAATTTGGATGAATAGAAAATGAATTTCAAGAAATTGAATTGCCTAAAATTATTTTATTGAAAATTATCAATTAATTATTTTTTATTGATATAATTTTCCACGTGAAAAATATTTAAATTTTGGATCTTTTAGAATTCGTTTAACTTTGTTTTTTATGAAAATTTCCATTAATGGGAAATATTTTTTTACAATTAGTGATAAATTTTGTGTCCATTGACAAAAAAATAAAAAATTTCCCACCTAAATAATGGGAAAATGATTTCCTTCAATTGGTGCACCTGTTGGGGGTGGGTAGAATTAGTTTTCCATGGCAAACAAAATCCAACGAACAACCATTTCCATGGAAAATGCAAAACAATTTCCATTTTCCATGAAAAAAAAGGGCTACCAAACATAGCCTTAGATAATTCGAGGTAAATCTGCTGTCTTGATTCATCGTATCAATGTACTGCACTTGTTAGCTAATTGAATCACACGATAGTTTAGCCATTTCCGTCGAGCTCAAACTTTTTATTCTTGACCTTATATTTTTTGCCCGTGGGAAATACAAGATCACTCCAAGAGCGCATTTAGCATTCAAGGATCATGTTGAAATCAACAAGTACTTGCAAATAATCACAATGGTAGAATAGAAACATTAAATTAACAACTCAGTAAGAAATAAGATTTTGTATGCAAGCTCAATACTTTCAGTATTTGCTGGTCGTCATCACATCATACCACGGTGTAAATGGTATTGGACTACATCGGGTCAGACAAAAAATATGGCTATTCAAATTGAAAACCCCAGAAAGTCAATTTCAAAATAAGATGGTAGTACAACCTCTACAGCAAACCACAGCAATCATTTTGTAGCTCAACCACCCAACAAATTTTTAAATGAACATGAATGGAAGAAATTGTGTAATAGATGTTGATGCAAGTGCCAAATGATCTGCATAAAGTCAACGAAACGAAATAGAATAATATTATTTGTACATAAGTAGTTAAATAATGATTTACATACAGATGAGACGTCAAAAAAAGAGTAAAAAATTTTTTCTTTTTTATTTGGTTGAAGAATTTTTTATCCAATCATATATCATCACATCATGTGTATATAAACCATTATATAAAACCTATTATGTACGTGTAACACAACTGAACAAAACATGTATGATAGTCAATGTAAACTCCATACACTTGTGGTCTCGTTAGGGTTGTCTTCTACATTTGGCCAATCTGTCAGGAGTCTCCGAGCACCAACTGGGGAAGCTATCTTGCCAAATCAACGTGCATCTATATGCTTTTGTAGCTGAACAAATTCAGAATTGTATAATCAGCAGTATGGCTCTTGCAACATTTCCAATAAATCCAACCTTCATAACTAAAACAATTAGCAAATCAGGCAAAGGGTGAAATTTACGTAGAAAGGAAAAACGGAAATATGCAAATAAAGCAATAAAATGGCTAAACCAGCTTACCTTCGCCATCCACAATACAAAAATTCGCTTGACTAGCAATCTGACAATTAATAAGATACATTTTTAATCCTACGGTTGTTTCTATATTAAGTATATAAAACGGAAACTGCAATGGTATGCTAAAATCACAAAAAAAGTAACAAACTAGCAGCATCCTTGAGTTCGGTGGATTCACGAACCACTGCTGAAGCTGGCTTGATCAAATCACCAAGCACTTTTACATTGGTCTTACTACACAACTTCTATACTTAATTGTGAAGTGATTATTATGAGTCAGAGACATGGGAACTATCAGATTCTAAAAAGACGTTTCTGTCATCAGCAGCATGTTCCTCCAAGTGCGAGCATGCACGAGAGAGAATGCCTGTCATGGTTATTCAGCATTGAAGACACGAGAATTAAATTGGATGGCTGTGAAAAGAGGTATCTGTCATCAGCAGCATGAACTTGGGAGCTTCCATGCATGTGCCACAAAGAAATAGGGTACGCAATCAACTCCCCTCCACTTTTCGAATCTAGTATTATTTTTCGAGTAACAACTACATCATAGTAGTTACATTGAGACCCTAAGATAGCACAATGTTATATATGTAGACAACCATTTCATTCCTCAATTTAGCACTCTCTTTGGCAGCATCAACGTACACAAGACAAAAGAGTTTCCGTCATCAGCCGCTGCCATACATACATGGAACCTTGACTACAAGCGAGCAAGAGAGTGAAAAAGTTATTCAGTTACAGAATCCAACATGGAATGTGATTGGACATTTGAAAAAACAAAAATGTTTTCGGTCATTAGCAGCCTATACACGTATGCATGTGCAGAGAGAGAAAGAGATGCAATCCATTTCCAATTTAGTAGAATCTTTCAGGAATAAATACATCATAACATTCAATAAGCAGATGCCAAGATAACAAAAAACTGTTTCAAACATAGATAAGAAAGTTATTCCTCATCAGTACCTTTTTTGGTTGCACCTTCAGCTCAAAACTGATCCTGTGAGATACTAACAATGGGACAGTTCCACTCCAGCAGCATTTTCAATTCCCTCCAATCTATT